CGCATGTTTTTTATGAGAGTATAACATTATAACATGATATAAAACTCAAAAAAGTTGATTTTACATGATATTGCCCCTTTAAACAAAATCAGAACTCACGAACATCGTTTTTGCCTCATGACCACAACCATGTTCCAATTATAAGAACTTTTAAGTTGTCGACAGAATTTATTACTGACAGTCTGATTGGCCTGCAATATCGCAGTTGGGGCTTTTAAAGCTTAGGGTCAAACCCTCCATCCCTCACACTTCATGCTTATTAGCGAGCCTCTGATTTCCACATTCTTGTTTATGAACAACCTTGTTTCAACCACGTTCTGGCACTGACCAGCGCATGCTGGGAAGACCTGGGCTCGGAGATTCTGAGCCTCTCGTGGCGCCGTGGCATAACCTAGTTCAACCTTGCAAACATTTAAACACTTGCTATAATAAATATTGGCATAGGGATCATTAGTGTTTGAACACTTGACTGTAAGATCACATGTAATTATGCATGCATCTTAGATACTCCACCTTTTACTTTGCAGGAATATTTCTGTTCCACTCTTCCAGTGTTGTTATCCTTCTCCGCCGGCCACTCGTAGATGTAGAGAGCTGTGTGAGAAGAACCAGCATCCAGCACAATTCCATACTGGTGTTGGGGGGGAGAGAAAAGGAGTTTCTGTTAAGCTTTTTCTGTCATTAGCTCTCCAAGTGTTTTGTTTTGCTAGGTGTGCTGTTTGGAACCAAAAGTGTAGTGACTGAATAACCCACAGACAAACTCATTCAAACTTTATCAAAATGACGTTCAGCTTTGAACAGGAAAACGGTCATTTTGTCAAATTACACCTCAGTCAAACCTATTAGTTAGCTATGCAACTCAAACGCTTACRTTTGTGACCAAGAATGAAAAGGGCGTTTATGATAACACTGGATTTTGTTGCCTGTATTTGCTTGTAGATTTCCAAAGTCCATAAAACAAGCTGACACGATGAGGTCATACTCATCGCAGAGCAATTTGACATGTCRGTTTAAGACCAGGATTTCTCTCAGTTCTTAATACAGTCTGTTCCCACAAAGGGAGTGAGGCTTCATTAGTTTAGGAATTTCCTCTAGCATACCTTGTACTTTTGGAGGACAGGCCTGTTCTGCAAAACTGCAACCGTCACCAAGGCAACAATCGCTATGACACCAATCACAGTGATGATGATGGTCGCGGGCGTGTGCCAGGGGTTCTTCTCTTTCATCTCTGGAAGCGGGGGTGGAAAAACAGACAGGAAGCAGAGGCCAGAGGGTTGCCGGGACAGAAAAAAGGGGGGGAAGACGGGGGCACATTGACAGAAGAACATGGTGGAAGTGAGGGTGTCAGTCTGTCTCACATCCAGATGTGAGTTCTGTCACGGCACGTGGGAGTCTGTTGCAGGTTGATTGATTGTTTTGTTTTGTAACGAAGGCCCGCAGATGGCTGTCTGATTTAGTGTCTGATCCCTTGCCAGGCTCTTTATTAATTCTGTGGGAGATTTGTTACTTTAAACACTGTTGAGTTTGAAAGAATATGCTGTTGAAGTGTTCAGCTAATACTGAAAAGTTAGCGGGATGCCTCCTTTTAAAAAAAATATTTAAGCTGTTTGTACAAAGTTTGACCACAGTTGGACTACAATGAAACAAATGTTTGTATTGTGGAAGCCTTGACCTATTGTGACAATAGCTGTAGACTGGGGGGGAAAGAGAAACAATTACTGTTCTAAACATCCTGCTAGAGGTCTCCACAACAGTTTTTCCCCCTCTGGAAGGCAGTTTCCACTGTTTAGTATCGAAATGTGAAACAATAAAACCCTCAGGTGCTGTTATGGAAAACAGATTTTTAAAAAGAACAGGTTGTTTTCCTTMAGTCAGTTATTGCTCTGAACAAGATAGAACTTTGAATCCAATAAAAAAAATTTGCATGCATAGAAGTACACACTTTATTGCGTAACATGTGCACAGCAGCTGTCACCGTACACCGGCACACCGCTGTAACTGTCACAACTTTAGAGTACAAAAACACATCTGACGAGGAGCAGCTTCTTTCTGACCGTCAGCAGCTCCTGATCGTAAACGCTCTAAAACTCAAAGTGCATTAAAAGCCAAGTGCGAACCAAAAGCGAGCACTTACCTCTGCTGTCTGTCAGTGCGTTTGGCACCGATATCGAACGGGGMGAGGGAGGTGAATCCCAAACGAGAAGGAGAGGCGGCGAAGGAGGGACGGTGGAGCGAAAGAAAGTGGAGGTGAAAGGGAGAGGGAAATACTAGGATGGGGAGAGGAGAGAAAGGACAGAGGGAAATGGCTGAGTGTTAGGATGAGAGGCTTTCCGTCGGGGCCGGACAGAGGATTAGAATAGAGCGGTGTGTGTGTGTGCCTCTGTTGGAGCAGCTCCGAAGCTCTGAGTTCGGCATTTCCTCTAGCCGAGGCAGTAAAAGCTGATCACTGTGGAGACGCAGCTAAAGTGTGCCTGTGCATGTGTGGGTGCACTCGTGAACCCCCCCATAAAAGGGACTCACTCTGTGAACTAATGAGAGCCACATGCTCCAGCACGTCTGTTCTTTCTGCAGAACATTAAGAAGGGAGGGAGGGAGGGGAATGATGTGGGGGACTCCCTTGTTTGGCTGTACTTTACCACTGGCAGGCTGTGATGTCATCTCAGTGACTGATTGGGATCCCCTGCCTTTCTTCTTCCTCGTGCGTGAGTGTGCAGACTTAAAACATGACTAGCCTGCAGATGTGCTGAAGCGTTCACAGGTGGTCCCGTTGTTTATTTCCTTCCTTTAATGCGCATTTAAATTAAGCCATCACAAACCTAACCACCCACAAGAGCATTACAATCAGTTTTTGGTTTTTTAAATTTCCTGTCTCCAAGTTTCCATCTTGGAGGCAGATGTATGATTAAGGAAAATGCGCTGATTTTAAACATCAGTTATTTTGGTTGACAAAACTTTACTTATGAGCTATAATCATACCAGTATAATAATGAAATTGTTATTAACTTGCTCACGTCAACCCATTTATAAACTACTGCAATTTTTWGCAAGCAATTCAAGGTTTATTTATCTATCTTTACATTTTTTTCCTAAGCTCCACAAATTTAATAAACCTTTAACTCTTATTTGCCCTGAAAGAGGCCTCTTTTATTTATTGAATTCTATTCAGTGTGCATTGCCAATGCAATGCACACTATTATGATTYGTTTTCCATCCAAGTCATCTCAACTTTGCCTTGCTTCTCCTCCTGCATACTTTGTCCTAGAGCTGCCATTGTAATTTATATCTGTAAAGCTCCTGTGCCAAATGATGGCTATGCCTTTTGGTGCCTGTAAAACTTATAGTTTATGAAATATTAATGTTTAATGAATTATAATGGCAGTCAATGGAGCCTTGTATTGGTCCAATACTGCCCCCAGCTGTACTCAACTTGGTACCGCACCATAGATTTTTTATATTTAATCTCAATAGTTCAGTGTTTACAATACTAATATGATTGTATTTTGATGTTTTACTATAATATTATCTTAATACTGCTCTATTGTTGTAATATTATGCATTTTGTGTAAATAATTGTATTGGCAATGTGGCCTCTTTCTGCACACATACAGTACAAACCAAACCCTGCCACCACCTTCAGCCATAACTGCATTGGTGTAATGGTCTAGGTCATGGACTTTCATGTGGGAGATCAGGGTTCAAAACCCAGCTAACGGCAACTTAAACAAAAAATCTATCTCTTCAAACTTCATATAGTCACACAATTACCTTAATTAAAACACCTGCTGACGTGACAGGCACAAGCTGGTATAGAAAACATATTTGAACTTGGTCAAAGTTCATTCTGCAAGTCCAATGCTGCAGGCAAAGCCNTGGTCCAATACTGCCCCCAGCTGTACTCAACTTGGTACTGCACCATAGATTTTTTTATRTTTAATCTCAATAGTTCAGTGTTTACAATACTAATATGATTGTATTTTGATGTTTTACTATAATAATATCTTAATACTGCTCTATTGTTGTAATATTATGCATTTTTGTGTAAATAATTGTATTGGCAATGTGGCCTCTTTCTGCACACATACAAACCAAATCCTGCCACCACCTTCTGCTACAACTCCATTGGTCTAATGGTCTAGGTCATGGACATTCATGTGGGAGATCAGGGTTCAAAACCCAGCTATCACAACTTAAACAAAAATTTTATCTCTTTAAACTTCATCTTGTCACACAATTACCTTAATTAAAAACACCTGCTGATGTGACAGGCACAAGCTGGTATAGAAAACATATTTGAACTTGGTCAAAGTTCATTCAGCAAGTCCAATACTGCAGTCAAAGCCATGCTACATGGCAATGCACACTTGTTTTTACATCGTAAAAACCCATGTCTAGTTGAAACTGTTTTTTGTTTTGATAAATCCAGCACACTCCCTTTATATGTTTTTTTCTTGCTCCCTGAAGACATAGTCGTATTACTTTTCATAAGGTTAAGGGTAGGAGTCCACAATTGTTCTGCCCTTCYGACTCCAGAACCATTTTACACTTTAAGAAAAAAAAGGATGTTGTAGTTATGTAACTAAARCTGGATTTAGTTTCATTGCTGGCAGACTGCTTATGAATGAAAATATTAATATCTGGAAAGTACAGAGAAGTTCAAGTGGTCTTTTTAGGTGTACACTTTTAATCTTTTTTTAAAGTGAACTTCATTTCTCCACCATGTTGACATTCTGTATGGTTCTTAAAGGACTGAGAGATTTTGCAAACAAAAATAAAGGCATAACGGTTGGAAATGGCGTGCAGTTGGAAAGCTCATCCAAGCCCTTTCCAAATTGATCTTGCTTGCAAATTCCATTCCAAATATTACATAAACTTTCCTTATCTGCAGCTTACTGTWAAAGCTCAATTGTCAGGCGTTATTGAATCGATGTGCATTTTAATATTTCTGCTTCTTTCATCTGAATCTGCTGCACATTTAGGGCAACAAGAGTCCATTTGAAAAGCCAAACATATTGTTTGCCTACAGTTCAGGTCTAATTCTCCTAACACTAAACTGTATTGTTCAATAAGAAAAAAAAAAACTCTCAAAATCTGTCATTAAACAGACAAATTTCTTGAATTCATTGTTAGAATTTAGCAGTTTACGTTTAAGTTTGTTGTCACTGAAAAATAAAGGAATGTTTAGCTTATTTACAGCTGTTAGGTTAGCAGGCCTGTACAACAGTGTTCTG